GTGATGAGGTGAATGTGTTTTACATATGGCAAGGACATGAATTTTGAGGGAACAAAGGGTGTGATGTTATGAATTATGTCCCCCAAAAATATGTATTGTAAATGCTAACCTCTATGCCTATGATTATAATCCCATTTGGGAATGGGTTGTCTTTGTTACGTTAGTCAGACAGGATTAATGTAGGGTCTGTTTTTTATAAAGAGATAAGCAAGGGACAGAAGTAGAGGTGGATAGGATTGATGCCAAGCCGCAGTGGAGATCTCTGGGAAACCAGCTGAAGAGACAAGGACCTTCTCCCAGAGCTGACAGAGAAAGCCTTCCCTTAGAGCCAGTACCCTGAATTCGGACGTCTAGCTTCCTAAACTGTGAGAAAATAAATTTTTGTTTGTTAAGGCCATCCGCTTGTGGTATTTCTGTTAGAGCAGCACTAGATAACTAAAATAAGAGGAAGCTGCATGATTGGTCTGGTAGGGGTGAGGGTAGAGTGGCCAGAGCCTTGGCCCTTGCCCCTTGACTCCCCTCTTCTTAACAGTCCCTAAGGTTGGGAAACCACTGAATTAGGTGATCTGATGAGGTTTCTCAAATCACAATATATGTGTAATCCCAAAGAACCCTCCAGTTGATCGTGTGTATTCCGGATATTTGGCTTTAAGGCAGGCACTCTTAATGTCTTGGGGTTTTTTGTTGTTGTTGTTTTTTTAAGACTAATCTTTTAAATTCAAGCACTGTTATTTCCCATCATTTGCCTTATAAAATCAAACAAAACATTTCTTTCCTAGGCACAGGCTAAAATATGCTAATATCAAATGTACACAAAACCATGTGAAAGCTAAAATCATATTCTTTCACTTACGTGTTTATAGACTTCACATTGCTTCATTTTTGGTACCTGAACTGTGTACTGTGTATGCACTGGTCTATATACTCTGCCATTGCTAAGACCAAAGATGTGGGTAATCATTCTGCTTTTTTCTCCCTTGAAAGTAATCATAGTTTTGTACAAAAAAGTCCTTTGTACACATGTCTGTTGGTGAATTTAAAGCTGAATTTACTATACTTTTCCATTATGCCTGCACAGATAATACCTAGTATTACTTGCACAATATATTCTAATTCTCTCTTTTGTGCCTGACCTATATGGCAACTTTTTTGAGAGGATAAATTTATCTATTTCTTTGCATCATGTATTACAAATACATTTTGGGGTTTTGAGGGCAGAAAAAGAAAAGGCGTTTTGTTTGTGTATGTGCAGTAATGATGGTTTATATAGTAAAACTCATGATCTATTTCTCATGTATGTGGTTATTAGTAAAATAATCTTTTTCAGGTACATTTTGTTGTTGGTTTTTTTTCCCTAACCTTGAGTACACACACACACCCCTTCAACCTAAAGTTATAATCTCCACTATTTCATTCTAGATTGCAGAATTTCTTCTAATGGAAATTAAACGGAAATCAGTTTCTGACCCTTATTAGTGCCGCATCAGGGTTCACTGTTACAACTGATGCCAAGAAATAGAATCTCTGCAGGAAAGCAGTGGACTCTAATAAAAATCACCTATTTTTTGTGTTTTAAAGAAAGCCTAAATAAATGTAGAATTCTGTTAAGTTTGGTCTACTTTCTAAAGTAGTTTTTGTCTTTATGCTAGGACCTCCCAGTTCTTAAACAACATTGGAACTTTTCTGGTTCAAAAAAATGTTTAACTGTTTTATGCCTTTGAAATTAGTAGCCACTGCTTTCTCTTTCTTTTTACATGTGCGTAGCGTTCTCTCATCCTTAATCATATTTCCACCCCAAGCATTCCATTTTCATCTTTTACTCTCTTTACACTCCCCATCTCCCTGCTGCCACCACCCCAAAAAGTAAATTCTGTTATCAAATCAAAAGGTGAATGGACTTTCTGGAGAAGGAGGGAGCAATTTTTTTTTCTTTCTACTTCCTACTGATTCCAGTAAATAGTTTTTAGGAATTCTAATTTCTCTCTAGTTAATTTTCTGTAATGTTTCCTCCTTCTCTTGGCCAAATAATACTTCATCTTTCTGTCTAGATGCACTTTAGTAATCACGCCTGTTAGTGTTAATTACTTTAATGGTGGCTTTTTGTACATTTGCCATATTTATGGTTGGAATAGATTCTTTCTTGGTTACTTACATGCAACTTCAGGGCTAACCTCTTCTCACTCTTTGTTGATACTGAGATTGTGTGTGATTATTAAAAGTTATAGGTTGGCAGCTCTTTGGAGGGAAATCTGTATTTCTGCAGCACAACATAGTATGTGCAGTGTATCAGCCTTCCAATAGTGAATACTAGCCATCTCGGCTGCTAGACTGTCTGGGAATATTCTTGAAATGCAGAAAATAAGACTTCCCACGCAGTTTCATAAAGTCAGTCCAGTGGAGGTATGTCATACATTTGTATTGGGGAGCCCTCAGCATTTGGATTTGGCCATGTCCTGCAGGACCTTCCTGATGACAGCTTACCTTGCAGGGAAGGAGAGTCGCTCCCAGATAGCCCTCACGAGTGGCCCTGGAGCAGGAAGTGATGAAGCAGATCTTCCTTGTTTGGGAGGAGCCTGAGGTGGACTTCCGTCCTGAGTCTGGAAGGTAAATTTGTTGTTACCTGTAAATTATGGTTCTGCTAGTTCATACTATGCCAATCCAGACTTTCAGAGGTATCCCTCCTGCCAGCAAGAGAAGACAGATGACTTGGATGAAGATGGCTGTCAAGCCCTGGGTCATTTAGTCTTCCACACTTACAAATACTTGTTTTAAACAAAAGGGCAGATATATCTATTAAATGAACTTATTTCAACACATTGAGCACGTTCTATGCTGTAACTATGGTGCTCTTTTTTTGTTGTTATTTTTGTTTCTTCATTTTTTTCTTAGAGTGAACCATATGGATTGGTTTAAGAGGGCCTAGCAGAACCACATCTTTACAGGCAAGAACAAATGTCACTTTCTGCTACTTTCTCCTATACCAATCCAGACTGTAGGGACCAAAACATAATATCCTCACTAAAGTGAACATTAACTTTATTTTCTAAATGAGCATATTGACACTTTGTTTTCTTTAGTAAAATATGATTAAAAGTTATTGTCTCAAATAAATGTTAAGGCTTAAAAAAAAAGTATCACCAGTTGTCATAGCTAGCTAAAAAGGAAGTCCTGTCCAAATTCATTTAGCAACATGCCAACCTCTAACCCCAGCTTGTCCTATAATACATCATAAACATGACTCTTTCTTCTCAATGAAAATAAACTCAATTCACAAAATGTGACAGCCAAAGAAAGGGGAATGGGTTCCCTGCCTTAATTTAATGTGTACATTTAACTGCATCTGTCTGCTCTAATTGGTTCATCTTAACAGAAATTACTACATGGTTTTTCTGTTAGTACGTGTTAGCTTAATCTATGTTACCTATCTTCCTTCCAGCCTCTCCTTTTCCGATCATACCTGCTGGCAATAGGGATGGCCCTACAGTCTAGAATGATATAGGGGGAGATAGCAGAACCTGAAGGGTCCATTCTTTCATTTTAAAAAAGGAGAAATAGTCATGATAGATGTGGTTTTTTTTGTTGTTGTTGTTGTTTTTGCATAGCTGGGAGAGATAGCTATATGTACCCATCCAGAATTACAGATAGTTCAGATAAGTCACTGTCTCTGAGTTACTGAGGTATATTCATTGCTGTCTACTTAAAGCAATAGCCATTAATTGATTCTGTTTTTGGTTTCCAGACTTATCCTAGTTCAGTATTTCACATTCTCTTCCTCCCTTTCAGAAATTACACAAACTATGGAGAGGATAAGGGTTCAGTATCTTTTAGGCTAATCCTCCTGTTGGATTAGCATCCACCAAAGTATGAGGGGTCTCACACGGAAGACATTTGCCCAATGTTCTGTTTGGCTAGTTCATGTAATTCCTTGATGTCTTTGTTTGCTCATCTTTGAGTTTTGAGGCTATTTTGTTTTTTCCTCATTTGCTCATATTATCAGGTCTTTTTAACCTTGCCTAACCCTTTTCTTTATGATCAAGATTCTAAATTATATCTAATGAACAGATTGTCAAGAGCCACAGAGACTGTTTAATATTATCAGCGCTTATATTCCTAAATGCACTTATTTGAATTAATTTACTGTTGCATAAATTCCAAATAATTGTGAATTGCCTTGAGTTTTAAAGATTAAAATATAATGGAAATTGTAATTTGGAAACATATGTTGGATTTTGGAAAACTCCCTTCATAGTGTTCATTTAATCAATTTTCTGAGTCCCTATTTTAACATTTGGTGCAAAGGCTAATGATTACCAGTTCTAACACTAAAAGTTTTCTCTCTGTTTATAGTAATTCCTGTATGAAAATATTGAAATAATTATTTAGCAATTTACAATGGTACACATCTTGAAAAACTCTTCATCTCCACCTTTTTACTAATTTTGTTCAGTGTTTTTCCCTCATGTCCATTTTAACAGACTATATTCTGTGAATTTAATGTAAATTGAAAAGTAGATAAGTAAGTTTTGTTTCTCCTGTTTGTGTTTTGGAAACCATCTTGCTGATTGGAATTATTTTTCTTTCTGTTATTTGACCAGGTCTTTTAAAACTAAAGGTTAGCCTAAAGTGTGTTCATTCAGCACATACTAAAAATAAGAAGTTTCTTAAATTGGCTTTATCCTATAAAGTGTTTTTAAGTTTGTAACTCTGCTTTACAGAAATTGCTGCTGAAGTCTGATATTCAGACAGTATTGAATTTTGAAGTCGACGTGGATGTAATTTATGTGAATTCTCTTCATCTTGAGCTTGACCTTGACACTGGCTTTTTCCAAATAGAATTCTGTGAAAAGGAGAATAAAAATTATATTTTTAGAGGAAAATGAATGCATTAAAATTGCATTTTTATGTTATTTCCATTATTGATGGTAATGCTTGATTTTGAATTGTATGTTTTGGACTTTATGTTAACAACAAGGTATTAATTTAATAATTTTTATATACAGGCACCTATGGGGACCTGCTGGGGTGATATCTCAGAAAATGTGAGAATAGAAGTTCCCAATACAGACTGCAGCCTACCTACCAAAGTCTTCTGGATTGCTGGAATTGTAAAACTAGCAGGTGAAAAGAATGCATAATAATTTACTAGAAAATGCCAAGGAAATTTGTAACTTTTTGTAAGAAAACTTTTTTTTTTAAAGCATTGCCAGAGAAATAATATATTATGACATAGGGCAGGGGTTGGCATAATTTTTCTGTAAAGGGCCAGATAGTAAATATTTTCAGCTTAAAGAGCCACGTGATATATGATCTCTGTCACAATTACTCAGTTCTACCATTGTATCAAGAAAGCAGCCATAGCAATATGTAAATGATGGGGGTGGCTGTATTCCTATAGAACTTTATTTATGGGCACTGAAATTTGAATTTTATATAATTGTCATGAAATATTATTCTTCTTTTGATTGTTTTTTTCCCAACCATTTAAAAATGGAAAAACTATTCTTAGTTCACAGACCAAAGAAGTCAGGAAGCTGGCTAGATTTGGCCCGTAGGCTATAGTTTGCCAAACCCTGTAGTAAGAAAATGCTTTGAAAATTAACAAAAAGTTGAGGTACTAAAAACAGTGATAATGTCCATGATACCAAAAGTAAACAAGTGTTGATAGTTTCAATTATCTTGGGTTCCTCCTTTCTCTTTATTCCCCCTGCCTCCCCTATACCCCAGCCCTTGTCACATTATTACTGGTGAAATAAATGTGTTAGGTATCTACTACGTTAGACACTGTTTACAAGTGATGTATAGAAATGTAAGAGCTCTTTTTTCCACTGGGCTTCATCTGCCAAAAGTTGAATACTACCACGTATCATGTGACCAGGGGTTCAGTGCATGGTAGAAGAGGGCACTGTAGTAGTTTAGAGGAGGAGCAGCCACTCAGAGGAGAAAATTTGTCCTTCGATTACCCTAAGAGCTGTCCAACTTGCTCTACTCTTTCTTGTTTCACCTCCAGCCATTCTCCCCAAAATACCCTACTCTCTGCTGCATAAGGCTGATAGACTTCATTTACCTAAAAATGATCTTAATTCCATTTTTCTACTCAAGCATCTTTAGTGGCTTCTTTGTCCTAACAGGTTCAAAGTAGTTTGCATTTAAAGATATTGATGAATTGCACCTTATGCCACTGACCAGTTTTTGTTAACTCCTCAGCATGAAATGATCTGCTCTAATGCTGCTAGACTTCCTCTTTCCATCATACAGCATGTTCTCTGCCACCACTGGGCCTTTACCCACTCTTCTAAAAATGCCCCATACTCTGTACCAACCCATGTTACCTAGTTAAGTGACTACCCCTTTCATGGAACATTTAGCGTTCTCTAAACTCTTGCATTATTTTTTACACTATAGTTTGAAAACAAAAACTGTTGTTTCTGTCCTAGGCATTTAAGTCAGTTGCATTTAAATAACTCTAAAGATGAGTACATTTAGTATCCAAGAATTATTTTTTCCTTCTGTCACTGATTTTCCATTTCTGTGTTATCTAATTGCATCGTATATCGTATTTTAAGACACTTTAATGCCATTTTAGAAGTAAGCCTGATACTAATCATGAACTGGACTCAGCAACAGTTAGCAAACTCATCAATTACTCCTTGAATTATTGAATTTTAAAACTGAAGGTTTAATGTTGTAAATCCTTATCATAGATATTAACACATGAAAATGCTGACTAAACCTGATTCCTGGCCTGAAATAGAAGCTTATTAAGCCAGAAAAAAAACCAGGCCCATTGCTGTCAAGTCTGTTCGGATTCATAGCGACCCTATAGAACAGAGTAGAACTGCCCTTTAGAGTGGTGTGGTTAATAGTCCTTTCTTATTCCGCTAAAGGCCTTAAATTAAACTTCAATCTATTATCAACATAGGTTTATTAAATTACAAACAGTATGTGTTATGTTCTTTTGTTCTTCCCAGTAAATAAGGCTTCCTTTTTGCCTACTACATAGTTTTTAAGTGATTTCGCATACATTTATTTGTGTTTATTGAACTTTTTACCTAGCATTTTCATCTATTGTTATGTTGTTAGGTGCTGTTGAGTCAGTTCCGACTCATACCGACTCTGTGTGCAGCAGAACGAAACTGCCCAGTCCTGTGCCATCCTCGCTATCATTGCTGTGTTTGAGCCCATCATTGCAGCCACTGTGTCAATCCATCTAATGAGGGTCTTCATCTTTTTTACTGACCCTCCACTTTACTAAGCATGATGTCCTTCTCCAGGGACTGTTCCTTTTTGATAACATGTCCAAAGTATGTGAGATGAAGTCTCGCCATCTTCGCTTCTAAGGAGTATTCTGGCCGTTCTTCTCCCAAGACAGATTTATTCATTCTTCTGGCAGACCATGGTATATTCAGTATTCTTCACCAGCACCCTAATTCAGATGCATCAGTTCTTCTTTGGCCTTCCTTATTCTTTGTCCAGCTTTTGCATGCATATGAGGTGATTGAAAATACCATGGCTTGAGTCAGGCACACTTCAGTCCTCAAGTTGACATCTTTGCTTTTTAACACTTTAAAGAGGTCTTTTGCAGCAGATCTGCAATATGTCGTTTGATTTCTTGACTTCTCCTTCCATGGGCATTGATTGTGGATCCAAGTAAAATGAAATCTTTAACAACTTCAGTCTTTTCTCCATTTATCATGATGTTGCTTATTGATCCAGTTGTGAGGGTTTTTGTTTTCTTTATCTTTTGAAGTATAAGCCATACTGAAGTCTTTGATCTTAATCAGTAAGTGCTTCAAGTCCTCTTCACTTTCAGCAAGCAAGGTTGTGTCATCTGCATATTGCAGATTGTAATGAGTCTTCCTGCGGTCCTGATGCAACGCTCTTCTTCATATAGTCCAGCTTCTCAGATTATTTGCTCAGCATACAGATTGAATAATTATGATGAAAGGATACAACCCTGACGTACACCTTTCCTGATTTTAAACCATGTAGTATCCCATTGTTCTACTCGAAAGGGATACTGCATGGTTTAAAATATCCTCTTGGTCTATGTACAGGTTGTGCATGAGCACGATTAAGTTTTCTGGAATTCCCATTCTTTGCAATATTATCCATAATTTGTTATGATCCACATGGTCCAGTGCCTTCACGTAGTCAGTAAAACGCAGGTAAACATCTTTCTGGTATTCTTTGCTTTCAGCAAAGATCCAGCTGACATGGATCAGCAATGATATCCCTCATTCCACATCCTCTTCTTAATCTGGCTTGAATTTTTTGTTTGTTTTAACAGCACAAATTAGTTTTCCATTCAAAAATTTTATACACAAACTGTTTTGTGACATTGGTTGCAGTCCCCGCAATGTGTCAGCACTCTCTCCCTTTTGCTTTCCACCATGGGTTCTCTATGTCCATTCGTCCAATTTTCCGTCCCTTCCTGCCTTCTCGTCTTTGCTTTTGGGCAGGTGTTGCACATTTGGTCTCGTATAACTCATGTGCGTTATTGTTTGTTTTATAGGCCTGTCTAATCTTTGGCTGAAAGATGGACTTCAAGATTGGCTTCAGTTCTGAGTTAGCAGGGTGTCCAGGGGCCATAGCCTCGGGGGTTCTTCCAGTCTCTGTCAGACCAGTGAGCCTGGTCTTTGGGAATTTGTAATTTGTTTTATGTTTCTGTCCTGCTCTGTCCAGGACCCTCTATTGTGATCCCTGTCAGGGCTGTTGGTGGTGGTAGCTGTGGGCTCAAGCTGGTAGAGGCTGTGGTTCATGTGGTCCATTAGTTCTTTGGACTAATATTTTTCTTGTATGTTTGGTTTTCTTCATTCTCCTTTGCTCTAAACATGATGGGACCAATAGATGTATCTTAAATGGCTGCTTGCAAGCTTTTAAGACTTCAAACGCTGCTCATTAAAATTAGGATGTAGAACACTTTCTTTTGAACTGTGTTATGCCGACTGACATTTATATCCCCCGAGACCATGATCCCCAGCCCTTATCCCCAGTAATTTGGTTCCTCAAGGTGTGTGGATGTGTCTAGGAAGCTTATATGACTTTGCCTTGGTCAAGTTGTGTGCTAACTTCCCTTATATTGTGTGTTGTCTTTCCCTTCGCCAAAGTTAATGCTTGTTTACTATCTAGTAAGTGATTTCTCTCCCTCATAAAACCATCAAAAAAATTTTTTTTCTGTGTGTAAACCTTTTCTTGGGTTTTTATAATAGTGGTCTTATGTAATATTTGTCCTTCAGTTATTGACTTATTTCACTCAGCATAGTGCCCTCCAGATTCATCCATGTTGTGAGATGTTTCGCAATTCATCATTGTTCTTTATCATTGCATGGTATTCCATTGTGTGTATGTACCACAGTTTGTTTATCCATTCATCTGTTGATGGACACATAGGTGGTTTCCATCTTTTTCCTATTGTGAGTAATGCTGCAGTGAACATGGGTATGCATATGTACATTCGTGTAATGGCATTTATTTCTCTAGAATATATTTCTAGGAGTGGGATTGCTGGATCGTATAGTATTTGTATTTCTAGCTTTTTAAGAAAGCACCATATTGTTTTCCATAGTGGTTGTACCATTTTATATTCCCACCAACAGTGCATAAGAGTTCCAGTCTCCCTGCAACCTCTCCAACATTTGTTATTTTCTGTTTTTTTTTTTAAATTCATGCCAGTAATGACAGAGTGAAGATGGTATTTCAGTTGTAGTTTTGATTACGTTTCTCTAATGACTGATGATCTCAAGCATTTCCTCACATGTTTGTTGGCTGCCTGAATGTCTTCTTTGGTGAAGTATTTGTTCATATCCTTTGCTCATTTTTTAACTGGGTTGTCTTTTTGTTGTTGAGGTGTTGAAGTATTCTATAGGTTTTAGAGATTAGATCCTTACCAGATACGTTGTAGCCAAAAATTTTTTCCCAATGTATAGGTTGTCTTTTTACGTTTTTGGTGAAGTCTTTTGATGAGCATAAGTGTTAAATTTTTAAGAGTTCCTAGTTATCTAGTTTATCTTCTGGTGTTTGTGCATTGTTAATTATGGTTCAGATTCTCTTTATGCTATGTATTAGGACCCCTAGTGTTGTTCCTCTTTTTTCTTCCATGATTTTTATCGTTTTAGGCT